ATAAAACTAAAATATAACCTGCACAAGACACGCTTCAAATTTTAAAAGATCACTTGGGTGGCATCTCTAAAGAGGGAGCATCTATTGCTCATGATCACCTCTTTTTAATAAACAATGCAAAGGTGCCTAAGAAAATAGATTTTGATTATTAAGATCAGATTCTGGACCAAGAAGTCATTATCTGCTGATTATTTTAAACTCTTCAAACTTTAAAGCTAATATCAAAGAAAAAGTACAGTGATGCACTACTTTGCCTGGAATCATAAGCAGAAGGTAAAACCCTGTGATATCTTAATTTGTCTCTGATTGATCAGATACAATACAAGTGTACTATTCTCAGATGCACAAACAATATTCAGATTAAGAAATCACAGAGTAAAGGTATAGGAAAATAAAAAGAATAAGTAACCTTCCTAAGTTATCACTTGTCAAGATGCTACTTTTTTTCATTGGTTTATTTATCAAAGCAAGAAACAGTGACAGACAAATTCAGTTTATAAATAGAAGCGCTACAGCACTCATATCATTACCTTCAAAGAAGGTTTTAACAAGAAAAAAAGAAAAAAGATAGATGATACTTTTGAGTTTTGAAAGCCACAACTCATTCTACAAGACAGGAAAGCAACTAAGCGGTACAGAAGAAACTTTATTTTTCAGCTGCAAACCATTATTCTGACGTCATAAAACTCACTGCCAGTTAAGAGCCTATGGGTAAGCACCTGGGGGTTCATCGTGGCCAACACCAGGGCTATGTCCCGGGCTTGTTGGCCGAAAAGCATCTGACTGGATCATCTTGTAACGATTTATGGTAAACCCATTGAAATCAATCGCTGGAGGTCTTATTGGCTTTCTCATTACAGAGGCTCTAGGGATAGCTGGTGGATGAAACATTGGTGAACGTGATGCTGCTATCAGCTGAAAATGTTGCTGCAGAAGTAGAATCATAACCAAAGAAAGAAGGACGATTCTGTCTATGTTTGCCATGAGACAGGAATGAGATAATTAAGTAAGTAGGGAGAAACAAAAGAAAGTTATGAAGCCTTTTATGATCTGTTAGAAACCGAAAACAAGGAGAAATATCTTAAGAAAGGTTTATTACTTTCTTAAATTATACTGTATGTACAATGACCTATATATAGGTGTTTACAAAGAGAATATTCTAAGGTATATTCTAAGGTATATATAGGTGTTTACAAAGAGAATATTCAAAGGTATAAAGTATACAAAAGGAATATTTTAAAGTATAAAATATTTACAATAATTCTAAATATAATTATGTTCACATCTTAACATGATCAATTGCTTCTAGGAGTGAATGTTAAGGTGTAATGGTGTTTGTGGCTTTGCTGAGGGTGGCTATTTAAGAAGGTTGAACCATCCCACTAGCAGCTTTACTTTCAAATTTCAATACATAAAATAAGGGTTTGATGCACATGATAATGTCTGTTTGATATTGATGAAATATGTAGAAGAAAGCATAGAGAGTAAAGGAATAATTTCCATAAACAGCAAACATAGCACTTCTTCTCACATTCCAATTCAAGAAACTTTTCTCATTGCATATATGATTTTTAAGCAAGGCATGGATCTTGATAAGACAACACCAAAAACACTTTGGCAAATTGCTAATGACATTTTGTTTTTGTTTAGTTGGTTATGAGAGAGACTGAAATCTGCAACAAGACTATTTAGGTAATTTAAAAAGAAATGCTTCTGCTCTATCAGAAATTATTATTATTTTTTTTTTTTAAAAAAAGAAATGTTTCTGCCACTAAGCTCTTAAGGGATTTGTTAAGAAGTTCATCATTTATTTTGTTATTCCTTTTAAAAGATTAAGATCTGCAATCTATCCTCATAATCTCTTTTATTTGTTATAGCCACCTAGAATTTATTCCCCTCATTTCCTGTTTTTTGTGCATTTCTAAAATGGACAATTATACATACACCCTCTCAATCAACACCCATCTCAACACCCAATGCTTATGAACAGTAAAATTACAAATTTACCCCTCCTCATTTTAGCCTTGGGTGTTGAGATGGGTGTTGATTGAGAGGGTGTATGTATAATTATCATTCTAAAATACATGAGCACTTAATATTTTCAGGTCAGAGTATTCCTACTAAGTCACAAACAATATTACTGATTTTCGATGATTTGACAGTAATTAATAGCATTGAAAATGAAAATGAAAACGAAAACGAAAATGACTAAGAAACGTTTTTTGGAAAACCCTAACAATGGCTAACATGTTTTAGTGTTACATGCATCCCATTAATCCCATGTGCCTTGATGTCTCGCCTCAGAATTAATACCCTTCGGCTAATCGGTTGTTGTAGCCACTATTAAAATCCTTAGTTTCAGCAACATGGAAGCATGTTGCTGAAAGTGGTTCCCATGTTGCTGAAAGTCCTTCAACAACATGGGTTTGCTTGCTAAAAGGTTTGTTGGAGAAAGCTTGGTGGGTAATACATTACTAACCAAAATCATGTTGCTAATATATCAACAACATAGCTTATGTTGCTGAAAATTTTCACTGGAATCCGATGATCGGTGGAGGAGAAATTTCTCACCATCTTCAGCGACATAGGCCACGTTGCTAAAGATGGAGTTTCAGCAACGTGGCTCATGTTGCTAAAAATTAGTGGTAAACCGATGAAAAAAAATGGAAATCCGGCATTAGAATTCGGCCTCATTTTCAGCAACACAAGTCACTTGTTGCTGATAGTTTTTTGAATTTTCAGCAACATGATTCTTGTTGCTGATAATCTAATGAATAGTTAGC